CAAATAAGGAATTCCAACAAAAAAAAAGTAATTTTCTGTTTTGTTTTATTCTTGGATCGGGCTTTAAAGGGATAAGAAGGGACTTTAGGCCTTGGTCGGTCCTCTACTGTATTCTTTATTGGTATTATCTTATCATTTGTTTCAATAAAAATAATTTGAAAACAAAAAAACAAAAGGCCAAATAAGGAATTCAAACAAAAAAAAAGTAATTTTCTGTTTTGTTTTATTCTTGGATCAGGCTTTAAAGCAGTGCTTCTCAATTATTTTCTGTTACGCCCCCCCTAACAAGAAAAAAAATTAGAAGTGACTTTAGGCCTTGGGTCGGTCCTCTGCTGCCCCCTACAGGCCGCGGCGAGCCTTACAGGCGTCTGACATGTGGATTTGAACCTACGGCCTGGAGCAGCTTGCGCTGGAGGGGGGGGTAGGAGCGGATCTCCTTCAGGCTCCAGGTGTTGGCCATGTTGGGCCTCTGGCCCAGGCCGCTGCAGGGCGCGTCCAGCAGGACCCGGTCGAAGCTCTCCGGGGGGAAGGGGGGCCCCGGGGCCTCATCTCCGGCCTCCTGGGGGGGGCCAGGGGCCTCATCTCCGGCCCCCTGGGGGGGGCCCACCGCCTGGGTGCTGTTGAAGCAACAGGCCCTGACGCTATGGAGCCCCAGAGCTTTGGCGTTCTGACGGATTCGGTCGATTTTGTTTCGGATTCTGTCCAAGGCCACGACTTCTCCCTGACAAAACACAAAAAATACAAAAAATACAACACAAAGAACGGTTCTTCACGGGGCGCGGAAATAAGCAGAAATTTTTAAAAAAGCTGTGAGAATGCCAAGTGCTGAATTGAGGAAGAAGAAGGGAGAAGAAGCCAAAGAAAAGCTGAAAAAGAAAGAATCTACATTTTTTAAATTTTTAAAAAATTAAATTTTTTTAATTTACGGGGCACGGAAATAAGCAGAAACTAGAAAAAAAGCTGGTGCTGAATGGAGGAAGAAGGAGAAGAGCCAAAGAAAAGCTAAAAAAGAAAGAATCTAAATTTAATACATAGATTTGCTTATTAGTTTTGAATAAGCAGAAACTAGACAAAAGACTGTGAGAATGCCAAGTGGTGAATGGAGGAAGAAAGGAGAAGAGCCAAAGAAAAGCTGAAAAAGAAAGAATCTAAATTTAATAGATAGTTTTGCATATTAGTTTTGAATAAGCAGAAACTAGAAAAAAAGGCTATGAAAATGCCAAGTGCTGAATGGAGGAAGAAAGGAGAAGAAGCCAAAGAAAAGCCGAAAAAGAAATAATCTAAATTGAATAGATAGTTTTGAATGATTTAATTTCAAATAAGGACTTTTAAGAGGAAGAAGAAAAGCAAAAGGATTAGAAGAACTGAAGAGTGGAAGATTTGAAAGGGATTTGAACCAGCAACATCTCAAACTGGAGTCGAACACTCTACCATTGAGCTGTACTCAAGTCGGAAAGGCTTCATAGGACTACATAAGAAGAATTTAAAAGGGTTGAAATGCCAGTGACCAAGAGATGGAGCCATGCTTTTGACTCCATTCATTTCAACGAGAGAAAATAAAAGCAGAAAAAGTTAAATAACTTAAAAAGTTGAAAAGATTTGAACACCAAACATCATAGCTGCGTAGTGCGGAAGGAGCCAAACATTTTGAGACCTTATTTGTTGAAATAGGCAAAAAATGTGGGCGTTGTTAGACGCAGAAGAAGTGAAACAGGTCAAAAAAATTGTGAGAATGCCAGTAGGAATTCTCACAATAAGCCTTTACAGCTCAGACTGAAGAGCCAGATCTTTAATTTTGTGTAAAGATAGATAGATAAATATATATAGCATGATTTCATAAAGCAGATACATGCATACGAGGAGAAAATGTGGAAAAAAAATAGTGAGAATGCTAGTAGGAATTCTCATAATAGGCCTTTACATCTCAGACTGAAGAGCAAGATCTTTAATTTTGTGTAAAGATAGATAGATAAACATGTATACTGTAGTGAAAGTTCATAAAGCAGACACATAGCCTACATACAAGGAGAAAATGTGGAAAAAAAATAGTGAGAATGCCAGTAGGAATTCTCACAATAAGCCTTTAAAGCTCAGACTGAATAACCAGATCTTTAATTTTGTGTAAAGATAGATAATATATATGGCCTGAAGATACATGCATACGAGGAGAAAATGTGGAATAATTCCTCTAATAAATCTGCTTTTTTGTGTGATATGACACCATACCTGGTCGCCCATGAGAGCGGCGAAGTGAAACAGAAGAAGTGAAACAGGTAAAAAAAATTGTGAGAATGCCAGTAGGAATTCTCACAATAAGCCTTTACAGCTCAGAATGAAGAACCAGATCTTTAATTTTGTGTAAAGATAGATAGATAAACATGTATAGTGAAAGTTCATAAAGCAGATACATACATACAAGGAGAAAATGTGGAAAAAAAATAGTGAGAATGCCAGTAGGAATTCTCACAATAAGCCTTTACAGCTCAGACTGAAGAGCCAAATCTTTTATTTTGTGTAAAGATAGATAGATAAATATATATAGCATGAGTTCATAAAGCAGATACATGCATACGAGGAGAAAATGTGGAAAAAAAATAGTGAAAGGCCAGTAGGAATTCTCACAATAAGCCTTTACAGCTCAGACTGAAGAGCAAGATCTTTAATTTTGTGTAAAGATAGATAGATAAATATGTATAGCCTGAAGATACATGCATACAAGGAGAAAATGTGGAATAATTCTTCTAATAAATCTGCTTTTTTGTGTGATATGACACCATACCTGGTCGCCCATGAGAGATGCGATGTGGCAGGTTTTCCCCCCCGGGGCGGCGCACATATCCAGGATCTTTTCCCCCGGGCGGGGCCCGAGAACGTGGCCCACCACCACGGACGGGAGGTTCTGAAACACAATTTAATACAGTTTTGAATGATTCAATTTCAAATAAGGACTTTTAAGTGGAAGAAGAAAGGCAAACAGATTAGAAGAACTGAAAAATTGGAAGACTTTAGTGGGATTTGAACCAGCAACTTCTCAAACTGGAGTCAAACACTCTACCATTGAGCTGTACCCCTGTCGGAAAGGCTTCATAGGACTACATAACAAGAATTTAAAAGGGTGGAAATGCCAGTGACCAGCAGATGGAGCCATGCTTTTGACTCCATTCATTTAAATGACAGAAAATAGAAGCAGAACAAGTTAAATAACTTAAAAAGTTGAAAACCTGCAGGAACACCAGGCCGGGGAGGACGCCGTCAAAAGAGGGACTCCGGTAAAGAGGCTCCACCATCCGGACCGCCACGCCTCTGAAAGCACACAGAACCCTCAGAAATGAGACCCAAAGGCTTAGTTTGGGGGGAATTATTATTGTGGACGGTCAAAATGACCATCAAAAGTCAATTAAATATGCTCAGAAGGTATTTTTCTTTAAAATAAAGTCAGTTTTCTGCTCATTTTCACTTTCCCAATCTTATTTCTTTATTATTACCATTAAAACGTATTATTAAGTTATTATTATTTGATAATATTTGAACATTTCATCCTAACATTTTTATGTAAAAAACACACTTTCTTTCTTTCTCATGCTGTAAATTGACCATCAAAATTAAATAAAATATGTTCAGAAGGTATTTTTCTTCCAAATAAAGTCAGTTTTCTGCTCATTTTCACTTTCCCTATCTTATTTCTTTATTATTACCATTAAAACTTATTATTTGAACATTTCATCCTAAAATTTTAATGTAAATAACACACTCTCTCTCTTTCTCATGGTGTAAATTGACCATCAAAATTAAATTAAATATGCTCTGAATCTGTGTTTTCCTCCAAATAAAGTCAGTTTTCTGCTCATTTTCACTTTCCCAATCTTATTTCTTTATTATTACCATTAAAACTTATTATTTCAACATTTCATCCTAAAATTTTAATGTAAATAACACACTTTCTTTCTTTCTCATTGTGTAAATTGACCATCAAAATTAAATTAAATATGCTCAGAAGGTATTTTTCTTTCAAATAAAGTCAGTTTTCTGCTCATTTTCACTTTCCCTATCTTATTTCTTTACTATTACCATTAAAACTTATTATTTGAACATTTCATCCTAAAATTTTAATGTTAATAACACACTTTCTTTCTTTCTCATTGTGTAAATTGACCATCAAAATTAAATTAAATATGCTCAGAAGTTATTTTTCTTCCAAATAAAGTCATTTTTCTGCTCATTTCCACTTTCCCAATTTAACATTTTAGGATAAAATGTTCAAATCATAAGAAGCTTTAATAATAATGGTAATAATAAAGAAATAAATGTCAAAAACACACTTTCTTTTTCTCATGCTGTAAATTGACCATCAAAATTAAATTAAATATGCTCAGAAGGTATTTTTCTTCCAAAAAAAGTCAGTTTTCTACTCATTTCCACTTTCCCAATTTAAAATTTGAGGATGAAATGTTAAAAAAATCACAAGAAACTTAATGGTAATAATAAAGTAAATGTAAATAACCTGGCCGGTTCCTCGGTGCGGAATATCCCGGAACGATCCATCTCCGCCACGCCGTTCCCCACGAAGGCCTTGTTCCCATGGAAACCGGCGGCCCCCCGGGTGCACCGGCCCTCCAGGTCCGAGAAGACGGAAACCAGGTCGCCCGCCTTCATGTCTACAGGTCAGAAACACGAGAGAAAGAGTCCCGGGGGAACCAGCACCAGAGGGTTCTGGGTAGAAGACCCCAGGGGAACCAGGACCAGAGGGTTCTGGGTTGGAGTCCCCAGGGGAACCAGGACCAGAGGGT